TGAATCGGGTAGAAAATGTATTGTGTCTATATTTTTTCTTGTAGAGTTCACAAATTCAAGTAAAAGGATTATGTGCGCCCATACAGCAACAGAATCATGTCGCAAGTTTTCGCTTACTGTACAAAACGAAGTTGCTGTCAAATTGTTTTTATCATCTATCATATATATAACTGCAGTATGAAGTGTCAACTCTTGCCTACTTCCTCCAAAGTGGAAGGCTTGAACTTCTGATTCATATATTAAAGCATAGTTTTCACTAAAATCAATGTGAATTATTGCTTCATTGTCCTTGAGATGTTCTTTTAGATCTTTTATTGCGGTAAATTGCCACCAACGAGTCCCTTCATGTTTCAAAAATATAGGAATTCTGGATTTTTTTTTTATTTCTATAACAGAAATCGTATGCAATTAACCGTGGCATTTGGGACGATGAGATTTTGGGTAGAAGGTAGCTAATGACCTTCTTAATCCCTGAAAAAACTGTATCGGTGCATACGCCAAACAACCTGTATACATTTACTACTCGGCAAATTAAGCACCAATACACTTTAACAAACAAAGAGTTTTGAGTACCGTCGTTAAGCTAATCGTGGTATTTTACAAATTAAATATCTTTACAAATAAGGACAACTAATGAGATCATCTATTACTTATATGGTTTTTATTGTTTCTAGGTTTGAACCCCCGTTACTTGTCTGAACATATGGCCTTCATGGTAATTTATTTATTTGATACTAGCTTCTGCCAGCGGCTTCACCGTTTCCAGGGGTAAAAAGTAGCCTATGTATTACTCCAGACCATTATCTACCTCTATTTCAAATTTCATCCCGGTCCATGCAGCCGTTTTGATGTAATTGATTAACAAACATAACATACACACAAAAACACAAAGTCAAACATTTAGATGCAAACTAACTCTTATCCTCAAATTAGCTCTAATCACTTAGCTAAGCTCCAATAAGATAATGATTAGCTCATTACATAATTGATTTCAATTCACTTGAAACCATTATTTAATGAAAAGAAGTTAGTAAATTACCACGCTGTGTAAGCTTTACAATGCTACCCCCACTCCAAACTTTACTTTGGCAGTGTTGGTTATATAGTGAATCGTCATTCACGGAGTAGTCAGTATTTGTCTTGTCGTTGATACGAGCAGTCGCACATCAGTGTTTGGTTTGTAGAGTCTTTCTCTGAGGGAGTGTTACTGTGACTTACTGTACTGTGCTCATAGTGAAATTAAAACAAGTGAACTGGGAATAAATCGACACGTGTTTGTGCAAAATAAAATATTTCTGTTTAAACGTCAACATGGTTTACGGAACTCAAATGTATATTGCTGCGCGTAATTATTATACGCCAAGAAAATCTGAGGGTAGCCGTAGAGAAGCTGGCGAAGGGTACAGAAACGGCTACACGGAGAGCGTATTGCGCGGTAGACACCGTGGTAATATATCTAAACATTCGAAATCATCCAAGTGCCCAAAGCGAGAAGTTCACCGCCGTATTAAAGATGATATGTGCGAAAGAAATATTCTCAAAGCTGCCTCGCCATCTGATCCACCTGGTCCTACGAAGTTGCTTATTTCTAATCTGGACTTTGAAGTTACCGACACAGATATCCAGGAGATGTTTAAAAACTTCGGCGTTCTAAACACCATCAACTGTAATAGAGCTGGAAGGTATAATGGTACCGCTGATGTAGTCTTTGAAAGGCGAGCCGATGCCTTAAAAGCAATGGGTGAGTTACATGGCAGGAAATTCGATGGAAAGGCATTGAATATAAGGCTTGCAACTTCTGAAAATTGGACTGAAGACAATAGAAATAAAGAAAGAAGTCCTGTTAGTGTTAACAAAGGCGGCAGTGGCAACAGTGTTCGATTCAACAGGAAAAATACAAGGAGTGCTGGTGAATGTACCCATCAAAATAGAAGTGAATCTCGCAGTAGTGATAAAGGACAGGCTGGAGCGAAAAGTGGAAAGCGTCCTGCGCTCACCGCCGAACAGTTGGATGCAGAACTAGATGCTTATATGACTTCTGTCAAAGAAGTTAAGCGTAGAAAGTTAGACTGCTTTGTGAGCGTGAAAGAAACCTGAGGGACTCTTGAGAGCGATGTTTATCTAAAACTGTAGCATATCACGGTATATGAAAATATTTGTTGGCTTCGTAAATCACCACATTGTTTAAGCTTAACAATGGTACGAATCTCCAAACATTTTTACGGCAAAGTTGAGTGAATGAGGATTTACCATGTACGGAGTAGTCAGTATTTGTACAGAAACGACCGCACGGAGAGTGTATTACTCGGTAGACACTGTGGCGATGTATCTAAATGTTCCAGACTACCAAAGTACCCAAAGAGCGAAGTACACCGCGTAGCTAAAAATGGAAGACCATCACGTTTTTAAAGTAAGACTAAAGAAAATACCTTGCCATTCAATCCAACTGTTCCTACGAAGCTAGTAGCATCCAATCTTGATTTTGCAGTCTTCTATGTAGACATGCAAGAGCTATTTGAATTGGACCTTGAGGGTCGAGAGGTTGGAACCGCGTCACAATACCAACCAAGTCGTTTGTACTGCGAGTTCCGACTCAACATCTCGACAACTTCCTGGAGGCAGAGTTTTGGCCGAAGGGTGTCATATACCGACGTTTTCGAGGCCGCCTTCGTGACACCGAACAGCGGAACATGAGACCACGCACATCGTGTGTAACAATGGTTTAAATGAATAACTTGTATAATTATGTATTCATAGTATTTTATGTTTTATATTATAGTATTATTGTATCAATATGGGCATTCGCTGCCTGATGTAAATGAATAAAATAAAACAAAATATTATAACCTTATTTTGTTTTTTTTTCTTTACTTATCATTGCCATCCATTAGGTTAATTTGAGATATTATTTTCTCTGTAATTAAGCAGTATTAAAAATTGCCTATCTTATTATTGCAATGCTGGGTATTAACTAAATACAATAAATAAATAAAAAATAGAAATACACTTTTTTTATTTTTGTTCCGCGGAACGGTTCAATTTGCATGAAACTACGGAGTCAACCTTAAAATGACAATGAGTCGCTAAATGATTGATAGATTGATTTTATAACGAATCTTATTAATCCTGTCATGGCAAAAAATACATTGATTTAAAAAGTTAAAGTAGAGCTCTTATGGCTTTGCGATAAAATTACAAAGGTAAATTTGCCTTAAAAAACTATTCTCTGTCCATTATGGAGTAATTTCGTAAACTTAACTGATTGAAATAATTTAAAATAATAATAATAAATTCTTTATTTCGGAATTGTACACTCCATATCTTACACTATTAGGAACAAAAAAACAGGATATACTTATATTATCTAAAAATAAAAACTATTTAATAGCGCTATTCTTTTTTTAACCAGTTAACATTTATATTAATTACAAAACTAGCTTCTGCTAGCGACTTCGCCCACGTTCCATGCGATAAAAAGTAGCCTATGTATTTTTATTAATCCAGACAATAATCTACCTCTAATCCAAATTCCATCCTGGTCCGTTTTGATGTACTTAATAACAAATACACACACAAACATATAACCTCACATAATATAATATCAGGTCAAGCTGATTTCAACCATCGGCCCTACAGTTACAGCGCAAAGTCCACGGCGGGCAACCTAACATTCGACAAACTTATATTTGCACTTCTACAGTTTTATTGTAAACGAGCTGTCGTCCGCTTCACTGGTCTACAAAAATAAATATTTTCAATTTTACAGCTGAAACAATGCATTTTTTCATAGAACTATGCATAGTGAGTACAAACTTTGAAGAAAGTCTATGTCTATCACGTCTAGATTTTATGTTATCTGTTAACCAAGTTAACTAATTTGATTATTATAACGTATTTTGTAGCTTTACATAAAATTAACTATTCCATTTACTATATTTTTAACAAATTAATTCAAAAGTTATAAGTTTGTTTAATCATTTCTTTACACTTTGAGTTGATACTTTAACATTCACCACAGCTGAGATATATGACAGTTTATTTCTACTAATTTTTTTCCTGCAACCAATATTAAAAAAGTTCTATGCATAATTATGTCTAAATTTCAAACTGCCATAACTCAGTGATGATTACTACTTCAATTTCCTCATTCTAAAAAGAAAATAGTAAATATATATCGTATCGTATAGTAATAACACGATCGAAAACCGAATTTTCTTTCATTTTTTTTGATAAACTTACTTGTTTAGTTAAATTCTCCGTCTCCATTGTGAGTTTTTTTTTTTTTTTTCAATTTTTTGTTAATTTATAACAAGCAATCTCTTATAATATTAATTAAAAACTTAAATAAAAATGATTCACAATCGCAGTCGCACTCTCGCCTCGTCACTTCGACCGACTTGGTAATAATAACTGACCACCGACAGACGACTGTTCGTATTGACGACGTGTCAAAGACTAACTACTCCGTCGTCGGGTCACCTCTGCGTCCCCGGCTGGGGGCGCGAGGTCGCGCGATCCAGGCGATGCCTGTTTCGGCGGATGCGCTCGCTGCCTGCTACAGCAGGCGAGGGGTTGGATTAGTCGGGCTCCTTGCGGGGCCCGATGCGGTGTCGAATCCGGTGGTATGCCCCGCCATGAGCCGCGCTCTAGCCGGGCAAGCCCAGCGAGCAGCAAGCTGTTGGCGGGGCATAGGTCGTATCCAGTGGGGGCGCCGCTAGGGGCCACCCGGGTCGGCTGGTGGTCTAGCAGCAGCTTCAATAGCCTGGTCTTCTCGGGGGACATCCCATTGGCATTCCAATGTTTGATCCTAAGGTGCCGGTGGTCCATCGCAGATCAGGGACTTGATCGCGTCTAGGAGCAGCGGCACTGGATCGCTCTGCTCTTGAATGAGCGCCGTCACAATCCCCTGCAGGATGTGCACGACGGCGTTGATGGTCATGGTAGTGAGCAGCGCTGGTGGTGGCGATTTTGGCGCCGTTTGCGCCATCGGTCGCTTCGCCTTAGTTGCGGCGGTGACGGGCGCTTTGGTCGCGGGGGCAGCAGGCGCCCCAGCTTTGACAGTGGCGCGGGCGCCGCAGAGGCGGCAGTGGCGGCGGGGGCGCCTTCTTCGCCCTCCTGCGCCCGCGCCTTGCACGGCGTTTTGCGACCGGCTCGTTTGCCGCGGCCATTAATGACCCAGGGGCGTTTGGTTTGCCCTTCGGTTGTGTGGTGGCTGGCTTGCTTGTTGCGGCGGTGGTGGTGATAGTGGTGGTGGTGGTGGTGCGCGCCACCGTGCCCGCTCTGGGGTTGCGCGTCTCGCAGCGGAACACCGGACACGACGTGTTGTTCGCCGTGTGCGCTCCGTCGCAGTTCGCGCACGTCGGCGGCTCCTCTCTCGGGCGGGGGGGCACTCGCTGGCCAGGTGCGACGTCCGCGTCCGAGCTTTTGTCGCTCTCCATGTTCCAATCGTCACCATATATAGCACTTAATGCTTCAATCTCCTCATTCTAAAGAGAAAATAGTAAATAAATAACACGATCAAAAAGCGATGACAGGAATTTTCTTTAATTTTTTTGATAAACTTACTTGTTTAGTTAAGTGGTCTGCATCCATTCTGTGAGAAAAATTATGTGAAAACTTAAATAAAAACGATTCACAATCGCAGTCGCACTCGCGCCTCGTCACTTCGACCGACTTGATAACAATAACTGACCACCGACAGACGACTGTTCGTATTGACGACGTGTCAAAGATTAACTACTCCTCAGTAGGTTTTGTCTCTATATACCTACTTCGACAAAGAAAAAATGGAGTGGGGAGGCCATTGTTATCTTATCTACGCGGAGAACTTCGCTTTCGCAGACCGTTGGAACCATAAAACTATTTTAAAATGTGTATTATATAAGCGGTATTAAAATATATTTTTTTATAATACGTATAGAATTTAGAACAACGTTTACAAGACAATATTATACAATATTATTATTTAAAACAATACCCAAATTCAGGACGTTATGATGACGATCTTACAATAAAAGGAGTATTAGGCAGAATATCATTTCTTCAGCAGCCCCGCTTGCTGTATAGCATGTTTGCTGTGTTGGTTATGTGTGGAAACCCACAAGGCATGAGTGCAAGGAACAAAAATGATAATACAATACAATTTGACAAAGTAACAATATAAAAGTTTAACACAATAGAGTGAGAATAAAAAGATAAAAAGCAAAATCATAAAACTAGAACAAGATAATAAAAATAAGTATAACATAAAAAGTCAAAAATCATTTATTTCAATTAGACCAGGAAGGCACTTTTAAACGTCAGCAATAGAAATTTAAAAGTGAAGCTATTTGCTCATTCCAAGGTGTAGATTCCTATGGAGAAGAACGAGCAAGAAACTCCATAGGTTACTCTTTTCCAATCCGTTTCACAATACAATTCTTCAGTTACACAGTTTTATTGGTTTGATTGTGCGAGAACAATGTAACACCAAATCTAGCCAAAGAGATCGAAAAAGAAAATAACTCTTAAAGACAGTCTGGAGCTGACCAGTCACAGTTGACGGCGCCCGTTCACGAACATGACACGTACACCAGCACCGCCCAACTCAACCATATTGCAGGGAATCTAGCGACCCAATGCACGTGCCACCGCCAATGAGATCTTTGAGTGAACATGACAACTCCAAGCTGACATAAATGCATTCTACTAGTCCAATTTAATATTTAGTTAATTACAGGGCTCTCACATTAACAATGATTATGCAAGTTAAACAATATACATTTAAGCAACTACGTTGTAATATTTAGGTTGAATTTCATTGACACATCAATGTTTTTCGTTATCCCGTGGAGCTGGACCAGCGTGCATCCAAGCATTTTTATCTTCTATATAATCATTAATTTTGTAATATGCTTGTCTACATAAAGTTTTTTTTATACATCATTTAAACTTCATTTCATTTAGGTGTTGTATATCGCTTGGTATCTTGTTATAACATTTAACACAGAATCCCATGAACGATTTATTTACCTTCGCCAATCTCAAAATTGGCTGACTTAATCTATCCTTATGTCTAGTTTGATAGTGGTGTCTGTCCGAAACTTTACCAAATAACTGTAGATTTTTCCTAACATACATGATGTTTTCATAGATAAATTGACATGGAACGGTCATAATGTTGATCTCTCTAAACCTCTCTCTGAGAGATTCGTGACGACCTAGGTTGTAGATAGCTCTGACGGCGCGCTTTTGTAAGATAAAGATAGACTCAATGTCAGCAGCGTGTCCCCACAGCAGAATGCCATACGACATAATGCTATGAAAGTAACTGAAGTACACTAGTCTTGCCGTGCCTATGTCGGTCAACTGTCGGATCTTCCAGACAGCATAAGCTGCAGAGCTCAATCGTCCCGCTAAAGATGTAATATGAGGACCCCATTGCAGTTTGTCGTCTACAGTAATCCCCAGAAAAGTAGTCTCTTTTACAAATTCTAATTTCTCATCATTCAATAATATGTCACATTCGCTGCTTTTAACATTTGGCTAAACAAATCTAATACATTTTGTCTTTTTATCGTTTAATACTAAATTATTTAATGTAAACCAATTTTGATCCTTCATTAAGGCGTTATTTACATCGTCATAATTATTTGTCCGTCTATTCATTTTAAAAACCAATGAAGTGTCATCAGCAAATAAAACCATATGTGGCCCATTTTTAAATAAATGGGGTAAGTCATTTATGTATGTTAAAAATAAGAATGGACCCAGTATCGAGCCTGCGGTACCCATAGATATGCTAGCACCCTGTGAGTTTATTTTGTTTATTTGTACTTTGAGTTGCCTATTCTGAAGGTATGATTTTAATAGATTTAGCGATACTCCTCGAATGCCATAATGTTCCAGTTTCAGCAATAATGTCTCATGCTCAACACAGTCAAATGCCTTCGATAGATCACAAAATATGCCAATGGCATCATGTGTATCTTCCCACGAAGCGAAAATCCGCTTAATTAGCGCTACTCCCGCGTCAGTAGTGCAGCGACCTTTAGTGAACCCGTATTGTTGGTCATGGAAAATACCATTAATGTTAAAGTGACGTAGCATCTGGGTGAGCATTAGTCTTTCAAAAACTTTGCTAAGCACTGGTAAAATAGAGACCGGCCTATAGTCGTTGGGTTCTGCATTGTCACCGGATTTAAACAATGGAATCACTTTACTATGTTTCATTAAATCCGGGAAAATTCCTTGATCTATACCTTTATTAAAGATGAAAGCCAAATGAGGTGCTATAGCTTCTATAAAAGACCGACACATCCTAACCGACATTCCCCAGAGATCTTCAGTCGATTTAACTTTAATACATACTCCGCGATATTGGCAGACATGCCCAAGCCGAATGGGTCGCCAACTCAGCTAAAAGCTAGGCGCAGTGAGTACCTAACATTGATTTTCAGTTACTGAGTTCTTTGATTAGTATATATCGCAAAAAAATAGGGTGAGTAGGTAAGTGTCTACCGCATTGGGAGTTACAAGTGTCACATTGGGAAAAATGTAAATATGATCAGCAATGTATGTTATACACTAACATCCATCATCATTACGCCATACGTGCATTATATATTTTTTACCGATATCAAAAAAAGGAGGAGATACTATGTTCGGATGATTGTTTATTAATATATTTTTATTGTTAGTTCGCCAATTACTCCATCATTTGAGAGACGATTTTCAAAATTCTTGTATTGTTTGAAAGCTTAATACTCCCGAGAGGGTCCCATTTTCATCAAATCAGGATCTGATGATGAGATCTTAGGGAAAACGAGAGGAACTTTCGAAAATTGCAGGGACGAGTGACGCGTCTATCATGTTTTTCAATAAACATTTTTAAACACAACAATTTGATCTTGAATCGACCTGATAATGAAGCCGACTGACAGTCGAAGGAACTACTCAACGGTTTATAGCAACTACCTTGTGTTTGGGCTTGATTAATCTGTATTCATGAGACCTTTATACCTAGATGGAGTGGGACTGTAATTTAAGGGTCTGATGATGAAGAAGTGTGATTGTTAAGGGAACTCTTCAACGGTATACAGTAACTACATTGTGTTGAGCAGTCAAGTTGCACCTATGTGGATTATAAGTGAAAAAACGGGTCTATGTAGCTTTACTTACACTGAAACTGGGCTCCGGCTCGACGTGCAGGAGAAGGCACGGGGTGGTTTTCCCCCCATCAAAAATTAAAAAAAATCCCACTGACAAGATAGAAGTCGGTTTTTGTTGTTTTGGATGCTTTAAAAATTTTTTTCTGCGTTGTTATGCCTATCATAATAACAGTAAATAAATGGGCATACCTACATTTACTCAAATTTATAAAATAATCACATTTCATGTCCGGTTCATTGTGACCCAGCCTTCACGTTCCGGTAACAATGTTCCGCCCCCAAGACTGGGAGTTAGCTATACTATAATGTAATGATGCCATCTGTATTAAATTAGTAACAACTGTTGAACCGACTAGTACCATTTTTCCCGTAGTCGTTAATGTAAATGTTTGGTTTACCAGCACATATATTACACAGTAGCGTTTTAGAATAAACAATATTATATTTATTATAATAATAATGCATATCATCACAAGAGTTCTGAGTTTCTTTGCAAAGTTCTAACACCATTCGATAGATGGCGCTTAATATTAATTATATTTTTCAACAGATGGCGCTACCTACCTATATCATGTGTACCTACTACATTTTTCGGAATCCAATTGCTCGCTTTCTTCCAGGGCACTGTGACTTTAAGAAAATTAACAAGAAATATAAAAGTTTTGAACCTAAATTAAATTGGAACACTTAAACGCTTTGATAAACTTAAGCTTGTACGGTTTTGAATAGGTACCGACGACGTTAAGAAATGAGTTTAAAAAGTTGTTTGATCAGTAGTTACAAGTCACAAGTCAACTGTCAAGTAATCTAGTTTGGTTCCCGAAGAATCAAAGTAATATATTCCTTTTTATTGAAAATTTTTCTCATCGTTAAAGCTGGCAACTACTCAAATTCCCTGCCGTAACTCGGAATTTAGAATTGTTAACTTGAAATTAAAAAGGAACTAGCAAATAAGTATTACATGTGTAACTCACTGTAATTTTATTTATTATTATTAATAATTATTATGTACAACAAACAGTAGAAGAAGAAGAAGGCCTCATCGTTCGCTTGATTAAATTGACGTGTAAAAGTATGTTCAGCCTATTAGCAGAAATAAATTCACTTGTTTTTTATGGAATAAGCCTGTAAACGAGCAGACGGATCACATGAGCAATCGGTGCCGCCCATGGACTCCTGGAACACCAGAGTGTTACAAGTGTGTTATCGGCCTTTTGGAGATTAAGATTTTGAGGATTATTGGGTATTCAACGATTGAGGAGATTAGATAAAGGGGGGGGGGGGTCATTGGACCTGCGGTAATTGTTTCTCTTGCTTAATAAACAACACATCAATGAAGTAGTAAAATAATAGATTTTACAAATACACTACTCGACGTTGTGACAGATTATCATAAATATACCGTAATGTAAGTTTAAGTAAGTGTGAGTGCAAACCTCCGGT